CTCTCTCTCTCTCTCTCTCTCCGCCAGGGCGGCGAGATCCCAATCAATAGAGCAATTCCGCGCTCCCCCGCGGAGAGAAAGCGACCGCGGCGCGAGCCTGGAACTCCACAGTTTTGGAAACAACTTGGCTACCGACGGCCGCTGGAGCTGTCGCGTTATCAGTCCGAGTCGTCGGACAAGACGACACATTGACCGTGCACTGGGGTCGGGATCGAGCCTGTCAAGCCCGCCCACTCGGCTAGGCCCGTGCCCCTCGCGCGCGGCAGGAACTCCAGTAAGAGAGAAACAGAGAGAGAGAGAGAGAGAGAGAAGAGAGAGAGAAGAGACAGGACAAGGTTCCACGATTCTCGGAACGCGTGTTAGCGCAAGTGCGTGATTGGTGATTGTCCACCAAAGACCTTCAAGACGACGCAGCCGCTGCGATAAGGGCCGAACGGAGTAACCACACGCATACACACGCACTCGGCTGACACATGTCCTGACAATCCTCGAGAGGTGTAGAAAGACCTGATGGAGCGGTGCCTGGGCCCCTCCAGTGCCAGGCCGACTCGCCGGCCATTCTCGCACCGAGCCGTCGTGCGCGAGGCGATCGCCCAGCAGCGCAGCAGCAACTGCCGCATATCGCACGCCTGGCAGCGCGAAAAATCGGCGCGCCCCCGCGCGGGGCCCTCCCGTGAACCGTGCGGGGCCTGGATCTCCACAGTTTTGGAAAAGAATTGGCTACCGACGGCCGCTGGAGCTGGCCGCGGTATCAGTCCGAGTCGTCGGACAAGACAGATTGACCGTGCACTAGGGCGGGATCGAGCCTTCCAAGCCCGCCCACTCGGCTAGGCTCCTGTCCCTCGCGCATGGCAGGAACTCCAGGAAGAAGGACACAAAGACAGAGAGAGAGAAGAGACAGGACAAGGTCCCACGATCCTCGGAACGCGCGTTAGCGCCAGCGTGTGATTATCCACCAAAGACCTTCAAGACGACGCAGCCGCTGTGATGAGGGCCAAACGGAGTAAACACACACACACACGCACAAATACACACACTGGGCTGACACATGTCCTGAAAATCGTCGAGAGGTGTAAGGAGAAATGATGGAGCGGTGCCTGGGCCCCTTCGATGCCAGGCCGACTCGCCGGCCACTCTCGCACCGAGCCGTCGCGCGCGAGGCGATAGCCCGGCAGCGCAGCGGCAGCTGCCGCATATCGCCCGCCTGGCAGCGCGAAAAATCGGCGCGCCCCGGCGCGGGGCCCTCCCGCGAGCCGCGCGGAGCCTGGAACTCCACAGCTTTGGAAAAGAATTGGCTACCGACGGCCGCTGGAGCTGGCCGCGGCATCAGTCCGAGTCGTCGGACAAGACAGATTGACCGTGCACTGGGGCGGGGAACGGGCCTTCCAAGCCCGCCCACTCGGCTAGACTCCTGCCCCTCGCACGCTGCAGGAACTCCAGGAAGAGAGATACAGAAAGACAGAGAGAGAGAGAGAGAAGAGGCAGAACGAGGTTCCATCGAGAGGTGTCGAGAGAAATGATGGAGCAATGCCTGGGCCCTTTCGGTGCCAGGCCGACTCGCCGGCCATTCTCTCACCGAGCCATCGCGCGCGAGGCGGTCGCCCGGCAGCGCAGCAGCAGATGCAGCCTGAAACTAGTCGGTTTTGAAAACTATTCGGCTTTGAAACTATTCGGTTGGGCCCTCCTCCTGGATCATTTTCTGCACCCACCCACATGTTGCGGAGATCCCCCTGTAGTTTGCTCGCGTGCCGTTCGCATCACGAGCCGAGTAAAAAGAATACGCGAAGCACGCAAGAGGGGGGAACCAGAAGAAGCAAACTGCAACAGCTGTGCCAAGGCAGCTTATTGTAACATTGTCTGCCTCCTACAGGCGGATGTCGACAGAACACTGAAATCCCACCGGCCCTCTGGGCGGCGGTGGTTTAGGGAGTTTCCTCTTCCACCCCTCCTTCTTCCCCTTCGGGGAGGGTTTTATCCCTCCCCCTTACCCCCTCCCCTGGACCTGGACAGGGTGTTACCGAGGTGTCGGAGCGTCCAAAACGGCTTCGGCGAGGAAGCTTAAATCATTGGTTTGACTAAGGTTTTGGTCCCATTTTGGCCTCCTGAAGGGGGGGACTCAAATTAGACACCCCCCTCCTGTGATCGATCTCACCCAAGATGGCCCAAGGATGGCCCCCAAGGCTCCCAAGGGTGCCCCATGAGGGCCCCAAGAGGTGGCCAGGAAGCCCCAAGAGGCCCCCAGGATGCCCCCAAGAGGCCCCCAAGAGACCCCAAGAGGCCCCAAAAGACCCCACAGAGGCACCCAAGATGCTCCGAGAGGCCTCGGCGAGAAGGCCACGATCATTGATTGTACTAGATATTACTAAGGTCTTGGCCACAAGTTGGCCTCTTGGGGGGGCACTGATTAAGATGACTCTAAGAGCGCCTGGGAGAACCCACGATGACCTCCAAGATGGCTCAAGATACCCCAAGATGTCTCATAATGGCTCCCACGATGCTCCAAGATGTCCCAAGACCGCTCCAAGACGGCCCCCAGCGGCCAAATAGCTCCCCCAGGAGGCCCCGAAGAGGCCAAAACCTTAGGAACATCTATGTGTTTGGCGTTCTCGCTTTTTCGCTTCCGATGGCCATCCGAGGCCTCAAGATGGCCCCAAGATGGCCCAAGAGAGGCCCAAGAGAGGCTCAAGAGAGCCCCAAGAGCGCCCCAAGATCGCCCCAAGAGGCGATGTTTGGGGCTCCCGAGGGGCAACGCTAACTAATGCTAGCTTCTCGTTTGATCGATGTCCTCCAAGATGACCCCAAGCTCTCCGAGGCACCCAAGACGCTCCAAGAGGCCTCCATTAGGGGGCCCCTCCTCTGCGTGCTGCCCACTTCCCTAATCGAGCCAATTCCTCTGGGCATCGTTTCTGGATGGGCTGGTGGGGCTACGCGAAGCGTCTAGAATTGTTGAACATTCCTCCTGTAGAGGGGCGCGCCCGATTTAATCTTATGATCCGACCGATCATTCATGTAAGCGGGCATCACATACCAACAACCAAGGAAAGGAAGTTCATGCTCGCACAACGCTGCGTTGACCAGCTCAGCGAGACATGTCAAGGCAAGCATGAGTGACAAGCGTGATGCTCCCAAAGAGGTCCACCTCGCAACTGATGTTCCGGCGGTGCATAGAACTGATGTTCCAGCTGATTGTTGCCCATCCAATGTTGCAACAGTTGCGAGTTGCGTGCGTGTGCGCCCCGAATTCCGCAGCCTCGTTGGCGCCCTAATCTCACCGCAGTCCACTTGGCACGCTAGCCAGGCCCCGGGCAAACAGAGTTGGTCATCCAGGGGTGCGCCTGCCAAGAAGCCACTGCAGGCAAGTTAAACATAAGGACAGCCAGCGGGCATTGCCACCATTGCGGAGCAACATGAGGACAGCGAGCGGGCGTTCCCATCACTGCACAGCACGAGCAGTCGCATTAGATGTCGTTCTTCACTCGGCTCGGCTTGGGAGCACGGGACTATACTGTACAAAAGTTAGTGAAGACTTCAAGGATGGCCCGACTTTGGGTGACGACCAGCCCGCATAGCAGCTGCAGCATATGTCGTCTTGTAGCAGGCGACCTCGTGCTCTAAAGGTCCAAGACAATTCTCCTGCAGCGTACATGTCGCTACTGAGCCACTGAACACTTCATCCGAACCACACAACGGAGCACGAGCGGAAGGGACGAGGAATGACAGAGAGAGGAGGCAGAAACATGTGTGCGGCGGCAGGAAGATGAAGGGGGGCCATCAGGGTGCTCGGTTACGGCAGCCGGCTTGGAGGTCCCCGTCGAAGAGAGCGCCCCCGCTCACACGGCGAAGGGGTGGGGGTACGTCAGCGGCGGCACCGGAGCCCTGACTCGGGCCCTGCCCGTCCGCCCGCGCGGTGGTGGCGGAGCCCTCCTCGCACGGGGTGGTGGCGGAGTCCTCCGCGAGCGGACCGCGCTCCCTGTCGGCGGCTAGCTCCGGCGTGGGCGTACTCTCGCGCGGCGTGCTCGGGGGGGCCTCGCGCCTGCGCACCGCGCCAAGCTGGGCGCGCAGCGCCGGCCGCGCGCGCGCAGCCCGCGCAGCCGCCTCACGGAGCGCAAGAGACGCGAGCCCCGGAGGGCGCCTGATCCGGCGCGTGGGCTCTGTCGCCGGCGGGGGCGCCCATGCGGCGCGCCTCCCGCGCGCACCTGGGCCTCGCGGCCCGGGGCCTGCGAGCGGTGGCTGCTGCGGCAAGGGCGGCGCGAGCCAAAGCCTCGCGTCCGAAGTCGGCGGCTGCGCCGAGGCGCTGCGCCGGCACCCCATGCGGCGTCGCCGGGGGGAAGCCCGAGAGAAAGATCCCGCGCCCTGGGCCGAACTGGCCTTGAGCCAAATCGGTTTGAGCCAGCATGACTACGGAAAAACAGGCAGGCACGACAAAAATGCACAGGGAATAAGCGATGGCAAATCAGTTTGAGGGCGCATGAACGGTTTTACTTCATCCGTGGGCGCGCGTAGCAGTTCTGGGCCCATGTCTGCTCGACGGGGGGTCTTGGGCGGGGGGGGTCTTGGGCCGACTGGTGGTGCTACGTCAGAATGAAACGGCCGAATGGTCGTTCAGAACTTAGGCGCTTGGCTGAAGCGGGCTTCCGCGGCGCGGGTTGTCGCTGCTGCGATGTCGTCGTCGTCCTCGCCCGCGCGCGTGGCAGTTGTGGCCCCGTTTCTGCTCGGCGGGGGGCCCTGGGCAGGGGCCATGGGCAAAAGGTGTCTGCGCTGCCGCACTGTCACTGTCATGCGCAGGTGTGGGGGGGCTACGCATTCGACCATGAGCCCCTTGCTGCCCATCGGCGTTGGGCGGTCAGCGGCGGCTTCCGGCGGTCCCCTGACGCCCACCAGCGGGATTCTGAGGGTCTTCGGCTGGTTTCGGGGGTCTTCAAAGCGCCTTCGGCGATCTTCTGTTTGTCCCTCCAAGAACACGCCACCAGCAGCTCACCTCGAGGCATCTAGAAACTGGTCGCCAACAGTCGCCGGATAGAAATATAGAAAGTTTAGCAACGTGGGCCCCAAGCCTTGTTTTTCAAGCAATATAATATGTGCAATATATGTGGGCATAAGATGTGAGGGCGCGCCGCTGGATGACCCTAAGGGGGAGGGTGGGGGTTGGGACCCCCCCCCTTTCCCCGATCCGTCGTCGAGGACCCTCCCCCCCCCTTTTCCCGATCCGTCGTCGGGGACCCCTCCCCTCCCCCTTTCCTGGTCCGCCGTCGGGACCCCCCCTCCTCCTCCTCCTCTGTAAAAAAAAGGAGTGGGTCCGACCCCCCCCCCCCCCTCCCCCCTTTAGCCGCCAAATTCGACTCCCCCCTCCCCCCATTTCGCCACGGCGCCCCCAGTCTCCGGAACCCGACCCCTACCACCCCCAACACGAATCCTCACCCTTGCCCTGACGCCGAACCCTAACCCAAATCCAAGCCCTAGCCCCAAACACTACTCACTACATATTACACACTACTCACTACCCACAATTCACTACTCGATACGTATACCCCCTTCTCGATACTCACAGCTCACTACTCACGACTCACTCACTACCCACGACCCACTATCCGAGCAAAGTCTCCTGTACGGGGCAAACCCGGCGCACCCGGCAAACCCGGCGCACCCGGCACACGCGGCACACGTACCCGGCACACCCGGCGCACCCGGCGCACCCGGCACACCCGGCGCACCTGGCACACCTGGCGCACCCGGCGCATTCGGCGCACCCGGCGCACCCGGCGCACCCGGCGCACCCGGCGCACCCGGCACGCCCGGCGCACTTGGCACACCCGGCGCACCCGGCGCACCCGGCGCACCCGGCGCACCCGGCACACCCGGCGCACCCGGCGCACCCGGCGCACCCGGCACGCGTGGCGCACCCGGCACACCCGGCGCACCTCTTGGCGCACCCGGCACACCCGGCGCACCCGGCGCACCCCGCGCACCCGGCGCACCCGGCGCACCCGGCGCACCCCGCAAACCAGGCACACCGGGCGCACCCGGCGCACCCGGCGCACCCGGCGCACCCGGCGAACCCGGCGCACCCGGCACTCCCGGCACACCCGGCACACCCGGCACACCCGGCACACCCGGCGCGGCGCACCGCACCCGGCGCACCCGGCGCACCCGGCGCACCCGGCGCACCTGGCGCACCCGGCGCACCCAGCGCACCTGGCGCACCCGGCACACCCGGCGCACCCGGCGCACCCGGCACACGGCGCACACCGGCGCACCCGCACCCGGCGCACCCGGCGCACCCACCACACCCGGCGCACCCGGCGCACCCGGCGCACCCGGCGCACCCGGCACACCCGGCGAACCCGGCGCACCCGGCATTCCCGGCGCACCCGGCGCACCCGGCACACCCGGCGCACCCGGCTCACCCAGCGCGGCTCACCCGGCGCACCCGGCGCACCCGGCGCACCCGGCGCACTTGGCGCACCCGGCACACCCGGCGCACACCCGGCGCACCCGGCACACCCGGCGCACCCGGCGCACCCGGCACACCCGGCACACCCAGCGCACACCACAAACCAGGCACACCCGGCGCACCCGGCGCACCCGGCGCACCCGGCACACCTGGCACACCCGGCGCACACGGCACATCGATCCGGCACACGTACCCGGCACACCCGGCGCACCCGACTCTAGTGCACTTAGGGGGCCCCCGTTGGTCCCCGAAATGGCCTGTCGTTTTTTTACGTGGTAGTGTTTGTCACATGATCGTTCGTGTCCTTGTACATATACACGTATACACAAGTATGTATATATATATATGTATATATATGCACATATATATATATATATATATATATATATATTTGTATATATATGTATATCTATGCGTGTGTGCATATATATATATATATATATATATATATGTGTATATATATATGTGTTTACACACCACGTTCAAACTTGTGTGCCCGCTAACATGCGTATGCACATGATTGCCAACAACGGCTAACATATCAACTTGTGCATATACACATATCTATGTGTACGCACGTGAGCGCGCAACTGTATATATGCATGTATGCACGCACGTGAAACAGCGGGGAACGCCATATCATAGCACTCGCATTGATGCCATACCACAACATAGCGTTCCATATCACCGCATGCCATAGCATAGCATAGCATAGCATAGCGCAGCACATGCAGCATGGCATAGCCGCGCATAACATTCTGGGGAGCGGAATAACTCACTCACCCCCCCCCCCCGCCCCCTCCCTGAGCAGGCCATCCGTTCCCCCTCCCCCTCCCCCCCCCCTCCCCCGACCTGCTCCGTGAACATGCTGGCCCAACGAGCTTTGTTTCTGAGCTGCGCCTCGCACCTTTCAAGTGGGGCGATCTTTATTTCTTAGGCGGGTGAGGTTTTCATGGCGGGTCAAGGTGGCGATGTGCAGAATCTACAGTCATGGGAAGTCTCTGACATAGATACAACGGCGATCGAGGCTCATAATGGATCACGTTTGCGACAGCTAGGAGTCTCAGTGAAAGCGCGCGATCTATTTCAAATGTATGAGGATTCGTTGGTGGTGGGGTCGCCATGTATCGTGGTGGTTTCGTGCGCATGCCCTCCAAGCGGCCATCGTGAGTATTTGGATGCGCTTCTCACTAAATATCTCAAGCACAAGCCAGACGCTGCCGAGAGACGGCTGGTCTATGAGAACATGACGTACGAAGCCATCATCGGTCAGTTGCAATTATCGGTGGTGGTATCAATCAGCAGGCGATGGGATACAATCAGGGCGAGTGGGTCGCCATTTCAGATTGCCTTATTAAAATGCGTCGAAGGATATCATCCCAAGATGTGTGCCGAATGGGCTTCAGGAGATGGGATTCCCACTATAGGCGATGGCCGAAACATGGTTGTCAAAGTTTCGAGTGCAGGTTCAGTCGACCCAATGTATTTTGTTGGTGGTGATGGAAGGTTCGATTTGATTAGCATGTGCACGCTGGCAACTGTGAGTGGTTGGCGAGTACTGTTTGTGGGCGACGGCGATGGTGGACTTGCGTACAACTGTGGGAGGCAAGTGTCTGTAAACATCAGAGTGTGCGAGTGCATCCCCGTCCAAGTTCGCACAACGAGCGACGCCACCATGCATCAGAAGAGGCAGTTGGGTCGCGAAACTGGCTCGTACGAGGATTTCCACACTTACGCCAAAGACTACAGGATCAGTCAAATCATGGAGTCATTCCTTCACCGGCAGGACTCCGGCGAAACGTTGTGGCCACATGAGGGGCCATCGACTTCGATGCTGCAGCCGCATGATAACCTTAACGCGGCGCGGGGGTGATGTGGCTATTCGCATCGATTGTTCAATAAGTGCGCATTCCTGGTCACATAACACAGGACGAAACAGTTCGTTCAACAATTGCACGCTACTAAGTTTAATTGGGTACGGGGTGCAAGTTAAGATGACACGCAGTTGTTCAATCCGTATGTTTGGCCGATGTGCTCAGATCATGGCTGAGCCTGGTCAGCGAAAGGCAGACGTATTCCTTATGATTGGGAGTTGTGGTATGTTGTTCGATGATGGAGCTGCAGTGGCGTGTAATTCCTGTATCGGTTCGCTGCTATGGGACTCGCTGCTTGTATTGCGGTTCAGATTTTGGTGCCAGGGCATGCGCTGCGACAGGCAATGGCTTGGTGAAAGCTCTGATAATCAGAGCGGTGCGCTTGCTCTATTTTTTTTCGGTGGCTCATGGTGTGCTCGTTGATCGTCGCAGAAGATAATAAGTCTCCTACAAAACTGATGCAGTACTCGGAACAGTTCAGCGCCTGGTTCCAGAAGAATATTTCCTCCTTGGGTCCGCACCTCAGGGCCGTGGCGAAGCCGTCGGCCTCAGTTTCGAGAGCGGCCAGCTGCCCCTGGCCAGATGCGCGTTGCATTTTCCAGCTCTCATCGCCACTTTGGTCCAGGTGGCCAGGACGCGTCAGAACTCAAGTGCGGAGGCCAAGGCTGTTAGCAACGTTGTTCGATCAGTGGGGCTCAAAGAAGTTCAAGACTCTGCAGCTTGCAATGTTTGCAGACGCTGGAGATGAGCACTATCACTTGATGAGGCACCTAGACTACGAGAGGTTCCCGGCTGACGACCTGTCCTTCAACGCGAGCGCGTTCGTCGCACGCTGTTCGGGGTCGGCGGCCACCCAGCAGTGGCCGCGTAGACGGACTGCGCGTTCACTGGGCGCATGCTGAAGCTGATCAAGCACCCCATCATGCTTCCAGGCGCTGGCGTACGTGCGTTGGACTGTCCAAACGGCGCGGCCCCAGCTGTGCAGACGAGATGCCTCAAACGCATGATGAATTGGGTCGCGGCAGTCGTGCAGACACTCCGGGCGGAGTTCCCCAGCTTCGAGGCGATCCAGGCG